CTCTTAACACCCTATTCACTCCTCATCCTTATCCTTCTCCCCCCCCTCTTCCCTACTCTTTCACTCTAGCTATGAATAGGCCAGCGAGAAGAGAATAAGCACAATAATAAATATTTTTTATCTGCCTATTCGTGCTTCAGATTTACCCTCTCACCCTTCCCCTCCTTTTCCTCCTTTTCTGTTTATCTTTCCCTTAAGCTCTCTTTCCCTACCCCCCTTACCTTATTCCCCATCTCCCTTACCCTCTCCATTCCCCTTTCACGTTATTCTCTCTTTCCTCACCCCAACTCTCACCCCACCCCTTTCCCCTACCCTTTATTATAACCCCATTTTCCCCTACCTTCTATGGAATCCCTCCCTCCCCCCCCCCACCTCAACTCTCACTTCTCTCCTTCCTCCCCTACGATAAACCTTCATTCCCTCGCCCCTATCCCCACCTCTCCTTCCTCCCCCTTTTCCCTCCCCCCGTTTCTACACTCCTAGCCTCCCCCTCCTCTACATTCTATCTATCCCTCCCCTTACACTTCCACCTTCCTCTACCCCCTCGCCCCCCAGGAGTGGGCCAGAACCAACAATTCGAGACAGAGGGGTGAAGCCCCCCCAAGCCATAAAAACATCTGTCTTTGTGTGCCTCAGACAATACCTCCTACTCCATCCCCCCTCCTATCCTTCTTCCCCCTCCCCTCTTCCCATATTTATTTACTCTATGTATAAAAGCACTGGTCATATTTTTTCCTCTCCTCGCCGTCACCTACCCCTCCCTCCCCATCTCTTTCCCTCCCTTCCTCCCCTCTTCCACCTCTCCTCCTCTCACCATCTTCCCTCTCCCCCCATTTTCCCCCCTCCCCTCTCTTCCCTATCTTTCGCCTCCCTCCCCTCTCCTTCCCCTTCTCGCAATGTTATTTACCCTAACGTATAAAGCACCGAGTCTCTTTTTCCTCTCCTCCTTCACCTCTTCCCTACTCTTCTTGCTCCTCCTCCATATTCTTCTTCTTCTTCTTTTTCCTCCTCCTCTCTCCATGCGCAAACGGAGGCATCTGGATCACCTTCTCTTCCTCCACCTCTTAACACCTTAAACATATTCATTCCCCTAAAATACATCCCTAAAATGACATCATGTTTTGTTCCCTAAAATCTCACCAGTTTTGTTCCTTAAAATAACCACGTGAGCTCTTAAAACATCTTCCGTAATCCCTAAAACATCCCCTTAATCCCTAAAACATCCCCTTAATCCCTAAAACATCCCCTTAATCACTAAAACATCCCCTTAATCCCTAAAACATCCCCTTAATCCCTAAAGCATCCCCTTTTCCCCTCTCACAACCCATAATCCCCATCTTCCACTTCCAAACCCCTTAAATCACCCCATAGATCCCTCTTCCCTCTCCCAAAACCCCAACCGCCCCTCCTCTCCTCTACACCCTTTCCCCACCCCCCCTCCACCACCTGTCCCTCTCTCTTCCACACCTCCACCTTCTCCTTACACCCCCTGCCCACTTTCTTCCACACCTCCACCTTCCCCCTACACCCCCTCCCCAAACACTCTTCCACACTGCACACCTTCCACTCCACACCACCCTCCCCCAATTTCCATACCACCTCCTACACTCTTTCCACACTACCACCTCTCATACTTCCTTCCACACTTCCATTAATTCCCCACACCTGAACGTGGAAAATTAAATCAAACACGCTCAAAAATTAATGAATGCGGGAAATCGGATATACATTTACCTGCATTTTGGCAATACTGTAAAACCAACCAAATTAAATCTAATATATTCGAGGGAAATTACAAACTTTTCATTGAGTGGAACACCAGGTTTTGATATATTGAAGGTCGAAGTAATTATTGTTGTTGGTGTCGGAAATGATATTAATATAAACAAAATTCTTAATATCTTGGGGAGGTAAAAATTTAATTAAGATTTATATTTTCTAGTATCGTATTATTTTTTTTTTTAATTGTATTTTCAAATTTCTTCATATTTATAAATTCTTGATATGATAAATTTTTCACATTACTGTAATTTGAATGGGGTAAAAAAATTAAAAGAAAACATACTGAAAATCAAATATTATTTCTTTCGATTACTATTTCAAAATTGTCTGGGTGTATGAGTGTAGTCAGTTGTAGTACCTATACCCTGAAATATGATCAAAGTTACATAATTCAAAGTTAATGTATATGTATTCAATATTTTTGTGTTAAACGTCTAAATAATTATGATGTATAAATATCTATAATTTTTAAGAACTTTAAGCTAAGTGACAACATTATATCAAAGGGGGTGAAAACGACACAATAAAACTTAACCTAACCCAACACGACATAACCTAACCTAACCTAACCTAACCTAACCTAACCTAACCTAACATAACCTAACCTAACCTAACCCAACACGACATAACCTAAATTAACACAACAAAAAAACAACACGACAAAACACAACTAAACATAACCTAACACGACACAACACAACTTAACACAATACAACACAGCTTAACTTAACACAACACAACCCAACTTAACACAACACAACCCAACTTAACACAACACAACCCAACTTAACACAACACAACCCGACTTGACACAACACAACCCGACTTAACACAACACAACCCGACTTAACACAACACAACCCGACTTAACACAACACAACCCATCTTAACACAACACAACCCAACGCACACAACACAACTCCAATTTAACACAACACAACCCAACTTAACACAACACAGACTTCCAACTAAAACTACGTACCAGCACTACCTTCAGGGGAGGTGGTATGGGGGAAGGAGGGTAGGGGGAGGAGGGTAAGGAGGAGGAGGGTAAGGGGAGGAGGGAGGGGGGAGGAGGATGGGGACACCACTTGGGAATTTAGGAGATACAGGTAGATATTCCATTCTCCCCCAAGGTAGGGAGAAAGGGAGAGGGTCAGAGACGGAAGAGGAGAGGATGAGGAGGAGGACGCAAGAAGAGGAGGAGGAGGAGGAGGAGGAGGAGGAGGAGGTAGGGGCGAGAGAATATGCCGCCCAGCGTAAGTATATCATTCGTCATATGTACCGTATAGTGTTGTGTAGGGTGGTGGTGAGGAGGTGGTGGTAGTATGGTATTGGTGGTAGTGTGGTGGTGGTGTGGTAGTGGTGTGAAGTATGGTTATGTGGTGGTGTGGTCGTGGTTGGAGTGTAAGGTGTGGAGATGGTAGTGGTTGAAGTGTGAGGTCTGGTGGTGGTGGTTGAACTTTGAGGTGAAGTGGCAGTGTGGTGGTAGTGTGCGGTATGGTGGTGGTAGTGATCGAGCTGCGACGTGTGCTGGTAGTGTGCAGTGTGGTGGTGTAGTGGAAGTGTGAAATGCGGCTGGTAATATGATGTTGTGGTTATGGTGACGATGGGTGGTAGTGGTTGTAGTGGCAATGAATGGTGATAGTTGTGGTGACAGTTTCTGGTAGTAGTAATAGTGGCGTTGAATGGTGGTAAAAAATAAAGGTCATGTTTGAACAATCATAGTTGGCAAGTCTGGACATTTTCTTGCACCAAATAAAAACAATAACAAACTAAATAACAATCACTGCTCAATCTATCCCCCTACAAAACCAATCACCAAGCCACAATCACCACATAGTTTTTATATCTAATAAACAGCTAATGACTCGTAAACAATGACTCGTAAACAATAATAAATACATGGATATTTAAAACAATGATCTGGTCTCCTACTAAAGAAAACTGGGCGCGACACTCCACTCCCTACTGTAATATTGACGCGGTGTCTGATTGGTCTGTGCAATATTTACCTAGCATATGATTGGCTACTGTATTATTGACCTCGGTTGTGATTGGATTCTTTGATACAGAGCTCGACTACACAAACGTTTCGTGTATTGAAAAATAATTATCAAACGTGATTATTATTCCAGTATAGGAAGTTAATTACTGGAACCCAAGAGAACACGAGTTATATCTGGGTGGTGAACAAGACGGGTCAGTAGAACAGATAAAGAGGAACAATATACTGAACACTGAACATGGCGGAGAATATTCATTAGTGTTGTACTGTTCCAGCTCCGGCTATAACTAAACTCCTGTTCTTCTCAAGCTAAGTTTGTGCTGGTAATTACTGAAATAATATATTACCGCTACTGTACAAAGAGGTGCATGGCGTTACAGGGAAGATAAGACTGCCTGACAGCACTGTAAACCTGAGAGATTGTAAGGTACGATTGTTAAGAGACCGCAACACATTACCGCAGAGTTTACTGTTTGCAGAGAGCGGACTGTAAACATGAAGTATTATATCGTTGCAAACTTGAATGATTGCAAAGGTGTGACTGGAAACACATCACACTATGGCGTCACACTAAAGCGCCACTACAGAGCTGATAGCTCGCTTAATTATTTCAGCTTAGTCGGTGTAACTTAACAGTTAACCAGCTGGATTACGTCCCCACGAAGCTAAATAGCTGTGTGACTTCAAACAGCTAACGAACTAGGTGATGGTACCATATTCTGACAAGCTGAACTGTGCCACCACAGTCCTAATATGTTGCATGCTGTCACTTCTGCTAATATGTGCATGCTGTCACTTCTGCTAATATGTTGCATGCTGTCACTTCTGCTAATATGTTGCATGCTTTCACCTCTGCTAATATGTTGCATGCTGTCACCTCTGCTAATATGTTGCATGCTGTCACCTCTGCTAATATGTTGCATGCTGTCACTTCTGCTAATATGTTGCATGCTGTCACCTCTGCTAATATGTTGCATGCTTTCACCTCTGCTAATATGTTGCATGCTGTCACCTCTGCTAATATGTTGCACACTGTCACCAGTTAATATGTTGCATGGTGCCACCATAGAGCTAAATGCTGCACGGTGCCACCAAAAGGCCACTATATGCCAGCCAGCTTCACCACAAACATTAGCAGCCACCACCATGAAGCAAACAAACTGCATGGCCACCACAAATATTAAAAATTCACGACACAACTAAGCAAACCTCATGACCACACCTTGACGTCACCATAAGCTAATACGCTGCATGACGCCATAAGAAACATAACAAGGACGTCAATGACAGCTAACACACGACATACTATCAGCACAAAGCTAATAAGGATGTCAGTAATAATAACAAAAACAAGCTTCCAACATGCTGAATGACGTCACAGGTAAGATTAAAAATTGCTTAATGTTGCGTCAAATGAATCAATTGCATGTGTGTGTAATAATGAGGAGGTTGCATGACAGGTCCGCCAGACGTAATGCCTCGGTGAGTCCTCTCTTATTTAAGTCAACAACACCTGCTGGCTGGCTGGCTGACTCGCGTGTTAACTTACAGCAGGTTATATTAAATCTTAGTGTATTGTTACATTACTCCAACACACACACACACACACAGACAGACACACACACACACACACACACACAGTTGAAGATATGGTATAGGAGACACCGTGTCACACCTCCAGTCAACATCAGTCACACGGAGACACTGGTGGCAGGAACAACATTGACTCTTGGATATATAGCGAGAGGGAGGAGACTTCTTAGGCACCGTGACCTCTGACCTACTGACATGTGATCTCTGACTTGACACTGACCTCATAATAATGACGTCTGACTTACTGGCCTTTGATCTACTTCCCTTGTCTCTTGATCTACTTCCCTTGACCTTTGATCTACTTCCCCTGACCTTTGATCTACTTCCCCTGACCTTTGATCTACTTCCCTTGACCTTTGATCTATTTCCCTTGTCTCTTGATCTACTTCCCCTGACCTTTGATCTATTTCCCTTGTCTCTTGATCTACTTCCCCTGACCTTTGATCTACTTCCCTTGACCTTTGATCTATTTCCCTTGACCTTTGATCTACTTCCCTTGACCTTTGATCTACTTCCCTTGACCTTTGATCTACTTCCCTTGACCTTTGATCTACTTCCCCTGACCTTTGATCTACTTCCCTTGACCTTTGATCTACTTCCCTTGACCTTTGATCTATTTCCCTTGACCTTTGATCTACTTCCCTTGACCTTTGATCTACTTCCCTTGACCTTTGATCTACTTCCCTTGACCTTTGATCTACTTCCCTTGACCTTTGATCTACTTCCCCTGACCTTTGATCTACTTCCCTTGTCTCTTGATCTACTTCCCTTGTCTCTTGATCTACTTCCCTTGACCTTTGATCTACTTCCCTTGTCTCTTGATCTACTTCCCCTGACCTTTGATCTACTTCCCCTGACCTTTGATCTACTTCCCTTGACCTTTGATCTATTTCCCTTGACCTTTGATCTACTTCCCTTGACCTTTGATCTACTTCCCTTGACCTTTGATCTACTTCCCTTGACCTTTGATCTACTTCCCCTGACCTTTGATCTACTTCCCTTGACCTTTGATCTACTTCCCTTGACCTTTGATCTACTTCCCCTGACCTTTGATCTACTTCCCTTGTCTCTTGATCTACTTCCCTTGACCTTTGATCTATTTCCCTTGTCTCTTGATCTACTTCCCCTGACCTTTGATCTATTTCCCTTGTCTCTTGATCTACTTCCCTTGACCTTTGACCTCCCATTACCTCCCTTCCAGGTAAACACAAATGTGCACCAGAGCTCAGGTGACTTCCATCCATCCAAGACAACACACACACACACACACAGAGGGGGGTGTACATGGTGCGCATGGTGGGGGCTGGAGGTGAGAGTCAGAATTACTTCACATAAACCAGGTGATAAATCTTAATTAAGCAGACGATTGTTACTACCTTGAGGACGTGATGATAGATTTATGTCGACGAACTACTCTCTCTCTCTCTCTCTCTCTCTCTCTCTCTCTCTCTCTCTCTCTCTCTGTTCTCCTCCACTCTCTCACTTCTCTAGTTCACTTTCTCTCTCTACTTATGCTCGTCTATAATCTCTTTCTCTCTCTCCTGTTATCATCCACTCTCTCATCTTCCCTCACTCTATTTTCCTAGATGATATGACTAACAGTGCCAGGGTAATGGTGCTTGTTAAGTAGCTAACAGTGCCAGGGTAGTGGTGCTTGTTAAGTGGTTAACAGTGCCAGGGTAGTGGGGCCTGGTAAGAGGCTAACAGTGCCAGGGTAGTGGGGCTTGTTAAGTAGCTAACAGTGCCAGGGTAGTGGAGCTTGTTAAGTGGTTAACAGTGCCAGGGTAGTGGGGCCTGGTAAGAGGCTAACAGTGCCAGGGTAGTGGTGCTATGTGCGTGGCTATCTTTGCCAGGATAACGGCAGCTGGTACGTGGCTAACAGTGCCAGGGTAGCGGCGCCTGGTGCGTGGCTTATGTATATATACAACACCACTGGGAGTGCCGCCACGGAGCTGATGGCACCCTCGAGGTCCGGTCTTCTCCTTCAAATTAGATTTGTATTTTATTTCCTTACGTGAGAGAGATAGAACAATTGCTGGATTCTTCGGGTAATGGCTCACGAATGGAGACAGATGGTTTACGGCCTTACTATGCAAACGCCACAATTCCTCTTATACACACCATATATATATATACACATACGAGTATATATACACACACAGACGTATGATCACACCAGCCAGAGAGACTATCTTAAAAGCTGAGGGACTTAAAATTGTACCCATTGTACCGTGTTGGCTGGCGTGGTACTGCTTGGAGTGGATACTTTATTCGTTTTTGTAGCCACCCACCCACCCACCCACACACACACACACACACACACACACCCAGGGAAGCTTTGTGTGTATGAAGAGACCTGCAGTATACGCGGTAAGAAATTTGCTCTAGGATTCTGAACATTTTCTGTATACAAATAAAGTTGGCTTCATGCAGAGGTTTGTACGGCACATAATGATTCTATACATATTCATACATATTCATACATAGTTCTTGAGCTATATATGATCATTAACTGCAGATATTTCAGTTTAAGTGAATGTATGCCTGTGTGTGTGTGAATGTATACTTACATGTATGACTAAGCATAGGTGTGTGAATGGATAACCATGTGTAATTGCATGTCCAGGTTCCTGCATGAATCCATGTGTGTGTGTGTGTGGTCATGAATCATACATCAAGGTACAAACTCAACTATCATCATCAATATAAAGGAAGAAATGGCAACCACTAACACCAATTTAATAGGACCAAATCCAACCAATACGGAAAGTGTAAATTTCATTACTGCCACCAATTTATCAGTAGCCAAAACCACCACTGGCACCAATATACAAGTAGCAAAAACCAACCACTGCCACCACATTAGAAGAAATACAAGTGATCGCGGGCACGTTCGTGCCCTTGTGAGAGTTTGAACGCTCGTGACAGCGTACAGCGAATGAGGGTGTGCCAAGTCCGTAGACTTGCATGGTTAATTAGGGTGTGCCAAGTCCGTAGACTTGCATCGTTTTCCATCGTAAATAAAACTGTTAACTAATGCCTTCCTAAAAAAACCATCGACATGGGACCAGGTTTGTTCCAATCTACGATTTTTTTGCGATTTTTCCACCAAGTTTGATGAAAAATGATTGTGCCGTTTCGGCTGCCCAGAACAGACACACACACAAACAGACACACGCCTAGTGCTATAGTACATTAGATTACAGCTGCCACCAATTTATCAGTAGCCAATTCCACCACTGGCACAATTTACAAATAGCAAAACCAACCACTGCCACCACACTAGAAGAACTATTACAGCTTCCACCAATTTATCAGTAGCCAATTCCACCACTGGCACCAATTTACAAGTAACAAAACCAACCACTGCCACCACATTAGAAGAAATATTACAGCTTCCACTAATTAACACGGAACAAATCCCACTGCTGCCACCAATTTATAAACAGCATACCTCACTGTTGCCAACAATTTATAGGAGACAAATCCCACTACGTCAAGCAATTTAACAGGACCAAATTCCAGGGCTGGACACCAAGATACCATCGGCAATAACTCGGCCAAGTGCTGGTCATCCTCAACCAAACACTTGTCAACGCTCGGGGATTCAATTTCTTGTAAGACTCAGCCATCACCCGCTGCCCATCTGGCTGGCCACTGTTGGGTTTACGATGGTTTCCTCTATTTAGATTCTAGGGGAAGATACTGTTGTTTCTTGATCCCAGGACATGCCCTCGAAATTCACGTTTATAGTCTCCCAACAACAACTCTCTCTCTCTCTCTCTCTCTCTCTCTCTCTCTCTCTCTCTCTCTCTCTCTCTCTCTCTCTCTCTCTCTCTCTCTCTCTCTCTCTCTATTCTACCTCTCTGTCTCTTTCTGCTTCTCTTACTGTAACCGAAATACAAGAGGGTAAATGATTTTCCAAACACGGTTTTCAGGCAACGATGACCTGAAGTCAAGCGTAATCCCTCGGCAAATCCTAATGGAAAGTCCGAAATGGTGCGAAAAAAATCAGTTAAGTCTCCCCCTTCCCTCCTCTCCTCCCAGCTACCCCCTTACACTATACCATTCCATTCCCCTCCTCTTCCCTTTCCTTAACTCTCCCGTTCTCTAACATCCCATCATCTTTACTATATTCTGTCTCTACCATTCCATCTCCCTCTTTTCTATCTCTACCATTCCAACTCCCTATCCTCTCTTTATCAACCACTCCCCATCACTTCAACTCCTCTATTCTATTCCAACCAATTCCAATTCAACCATTCCGCCCCTACCATTCCAAAGGAAGGAGGAAGGAGGTAGAGAGGAGCCCAGACGAGATGGAGAAAGGCCCTCTGGGAGACTAGAGAAGGACACGGGAGGAGAGAAACTCAAGGAAAGGGGGAGGAAGGGAAGGAGAGAAGGGTAACTAATGGAGAGACCTAAGGAGAGAGTCAAGGGATATCCTGGGGAGAGGGAGAAACCGAAGGGGGGGTGAGGGACTAGGAGGTTAGGGTGAGGGACTAAGGGCTGGGGTGAAGGACTAAAGGGTTAGGGTAAGGACTAAGAGGTTAGGGGTGAGGGACTAAGGGGTTGGGGTGAGGGACTAAAGGGTTAGGTAAGGACTAAGAGGTTAGGGTGAGGGCCAAGGGTTAGGTGAGGCTAAGGGTTAGGTGAAGGGTTAAGGGGTTAGGTGAGGCCAAGGGTTAGGTGAGGCTAAGGGGTTAGGCCTAGGACTAAGGGGTTAGGTAAGGGACTATGGGGTAGGGGTGAGGGACTTGGGATATAAACCGAGGGAAAGGGAAGTGGAAGGAGGAAAAGGGGATGGAGGAGAAAAGGAGAGGGAAGAAAGGAGGAAAAGAATGGGGAGGGAAGGAAAGAAAGGGAGGAGAAGAAAGAGAAAGAAGAGAAGGGAAAAGGACAGAGAAGGGCAGACAAAGGGTGGGAAAAGAGGTAAATGTGAAGAGAGGAAACGGGGGGAGATAAAGTGGAAACCAAGGGAGAAGGAAGAGAGGAGAAAACAGGATAACAAAAATGAAGGAGAAGGCAGAAAGGGGAAAGAGAGAGAAGGAAGAGAAGGGAAACTGAGAAAATGGAGAGGTGGAACAGGGAGGAAGAGACAGAGAGAGGGGGGGTGAAGAAAAGGGAGAGGAGTAAGCGAGTGAGAGGGGAGAAAAAGGGAGAGGGGGAAAATGGAGGAAGGGAGAAGAGGGGAGAGAGAGGAAAGGAGGAAAAGGAGGAGATATAATTGTTTACGCGGGAACATCAGAACGACACATCAAGTCTACCAATTTTACAGTTTTTCGCCCCGCTATTATTTACAAATATTTTTCGTATTTGCCAATTAGGGATGCTGATTGCCTGCGTAATAGGTTAATTACATAACGATCATACCGCACCCAGTCACAGCGAGACCCCAAGTGTAATGATTATTTTTTTTTACTGAATTACTGACAACACCAACAGTCGTGTGTGTATGTGTGTGTGTGTGTGTGTGTGTGTGTGTTTAAATGGTACCTGATGGAGTCTCTCAATTATTGTTCATTAAACACAGAGTATCTTAGTAAACCCATACATGTGTGTGGAGAGTGTGTGTGTGTGTGTGTGTGTGTGTGTGTGTGTGTAGTGTGTGTGGAGTGTGTGTGTGTGTGTGTGTGTGTGTGTGTGTGTGTGTGAGTGTGTGTGTGTGTGTGTGTGTGTGTGTGTGTGTGTGTGTGTGTATTTGTCCACCACCAACTATTTTAATACTACAGTCTGTTCTGGAAATACATAAGATAAATCTGAGGTTGTATTCCTGAATGTATTAAAACATATGCAATAATACCTATGTGTATGAGTCTATATGTACAAAGTATAATAAATGTGTAATAATACATATGTATACTTATTACTGTTTGGACTGATAACGTTGCTAACTTATGAATTAAATAAATTGAACAATATTTTGCATTTTGTTTATTTCGTAAAACAAATTGATCTTAGTAAATACAGTGCAATACAACTTGTAAATTAATACAGTTCCACCCACTAATTACAGTTCCACCCACTAATTAATACAGTTCCACCCACTAATTAATACAGTTCCACCCACTAATTAATACAGTTCCACCCATTAATTAACACAGTTCCACCCATTAATTAACACAGTTCACCCATCAATTAATACAGTTCCACCCACTAATTATCACAGTTCCACCCACTAATTATTGAAGTTC